GCAGAGCCTACTGGAAGCACTGGGGCAGTGCCCATCCCTCGCTGCAGCACCCCTGGCAGCTCAGCACCACCTCCAACCTGCTCCCTTCCCTTCCCCAAGGCTGCAAAGAAGCAGCAGCCCTGTTTTATAAATGGGAATAGGGGGAACAGCATCCTCCAGGGACTGAGTTGCAGAGGGAAGGGTGATTCCAATTTGCAGGAAGGTGCTCAGCACGGCACAGCACGGCAGCCCTGGCTCCTCCACAGCCATCCTCCCTGGATATGGAGGAGGGAAATGGGATATGGAGGAGGGAAACCACTTGGTGCTCAGCAGGGAGGGAGCACCAACATGAATGCTCTCCCTGCCTCCTGCCACCAAACCATTCAGGCTCCTTACCTGCCCTCAATACCTCCCTGGACTCGCTGCATCTCTGCTGGGAGGAATCAAACAGGGGTTGTGTGGGTGTTCCTGTGTCCTCCTGGGGCTTTGCCAGGCTGGAGCAACAGCCAGGATGAGAGGCAGAGGTAGGGATGGGAAGGGATTCTAGTAAGGGGAGACATCTGCTCCCAGCTGCCATGCATTGCCCTGACATCCCATTTGCCATGCTGCAATAATCCAGCAAATAAAGCTGGCTCCACGGGCAGTATTTTGGGATTTCTCCATATTAATGGCAGAAATGCAACAGTCTGAAACTGCAAACAGCTTTTAAACAAAAATATCTATTCCCTCATGGCAAAGAGACAACGCAAAAACAGATAAAGAATGAGCAAACAACTCATTTGGAAAATAATTCCTCAGTGATTTGGGAATGGCACAGGGCTCAGGCTCTGCCCCACCGTGAGGCAACGGGGGGAAAATCACTCTAATCTAGTCTTTAGTGAGCTGCATCCATTGCTGAGCCTCTCAGCTAGACCAGGAGGTGTGACTGGAATAGATCAGCTCCAATCCCATCTCCTTATTAACCTCACAGAGCACTTTGCCAACGGGAACAGCCTTCTTTAAGGAGAGGAGAGGGGTGCCCAGAAGAAGATGGCTCTGAATGTGCTTTTGGCTCAGCAGTGGAAGGACCAAGGGAGGCTTCTGGTGAGTGATGGAAGATCCCTCTCCAGTCCCCTCCCAAAGTGCCCATGAGGGACTGCACAGGAGAAGCATCACTGGAGGAGTGCTTTGATTTAAATCCTTGCAGTAAGGCAGCAGCAGCAGCAGCAGTGATGCCATGGTGCATTCCTCCAAGCAGGAGCCTTGATGCTGGCATGTCCAACAGAGCAGCTGAGCACCCCGACCTCCACACAAGCCATCAGTGGTTATTAAACCACCTCAGTGCAGGAGAAGCTGCCCACAGAGCTCCTAGCTGCTGATGGCTGGAGCAGAGCTGCAGGGATGCTGTGGAGCTCACATCCTGCTGCGCTGTGGCTGCATTGTCACTGATGGATGGGGCAAAGGGTCCTTGGCACAAGCAGGAAGGGCCACGTGAGCAGGGCCAGGCTCTAGGCAGCACAAGGAGGTGTTCCATCAGTGCTGGGGTGCATGTGGAGCACGTGTGGAGCACACAGCAGGGACCAGGCTGGCTGCTGCCCAGCCCTGCTGGGGTACACTGGCCTCAGCAGCCAGAATCTGCTTCCTCCACCCATCCCCTGGGTGTTGCCATCTCCTCAGTCACACAGCTGAAGTCTTTGGATAAATGCTTGAGCCCCTAGGATAGAATGACATCTATTAAAGGGGAAACACAACATCTGAAGCAGCACTGACTGCAACCACACGTTGGTCTGAGACCTCCCAAGCTGTTCTGTATCTCACATCCATCAGCGCTCCGCATCCTGAAGGTACCCAGTGCACATTCCCAGCCTTTCCAGCTGGTCAGATACCATAAAGCCATCACTGCTACACCTGGTCCATCCCACTGGTGTGCTGAGCTGTGCCAAGAGGACGGACCAGGCTCTGCTCAGTGATGCCCAGCAGTGGGACCAGAAAGAGGTGATGGGCAGAAAATGCTGCCCAGGAAGTTCCATCTGAACATGAGAAAGAAACTTCTTTACAGTCCAGTGACCAAGCACTGGAACAGATTGCCCAGAGAGGGTGTGGAGTCTCCCTCACTGGATTATTCAAGAACTGCTTGGATGCAATCCTGTGCCCTGTGCTCCAGTTGGACCAGATAACCCAAAGTGGTTCCTTCCATGGAACCTGGTCCATTCTGCAGCCACCAGAAGGGCAGAGACTCTAATAAATCAGTGCTGCAGCCCCTTAGGTGGCAAAGAGACCTCCCTGACCCTCAGGGGATGGAAATTCTGCAGTAACTGGTAAGTGTTGCCCAGGCCAGGGTGTGCAAGGCAGCTTTTCCCAGCACAAAGGCTCCCTCCCCACCCCATGCTGACATGCCTGGCACATTGAGAATATCCTACTTATTAAAGACACTGAGGATGCGGCGACATGGGAAGCAGACACCATTCAAAAGATTGTCACATCTGCATAGCTAAAGGATCCCAGCAGTCATAAATCCCTCTAAAATACTCAGCCCCTTGTTCTGATAGCAGGTTCTTGCTCCTACTTCGCAGAAACAGGCTTTTAATCCCTAGTATTAGGCAGCTTCCTGCTATGTTTCAAATGCACCAAATTAAGGGCTTCTCTAACAGCTGGTGTCTTAATGCTCAGAGAGGTTCTTGAATATCTATGAAAATCAGAGGCAAATTACATCTTTTAGTTAATAATTTCTTCTCCATTAACCTCCTTCTCTTCCCTTGTTAAGGAATGATGTAATGGTGCTTCCACACCGTGACCTGCCGACACCCCGGCAGCCTGGCCCTGGGGGAGGACACTGCAGGGAGCTGAGCCCTTCTCATCACTGCCTGCTGCTTTTGGAGCCTCACTCAGATGGGAAAAGGGTGACCTGGATGATCTTCCAGGCTGCTGGAAGCATTTCTGGAGCACGATGTGCTGCGAGCTCTGCAGAGCCACTGCATGGCGCGCCACAGCCAGCACCACGTGGGCAGCTTGGCAGGATGCTCCTGCTCCAGACCTGCTTTCTCCTGCTCCTCACTGCTACTAACTTAATATATAATAACAAAACAATTACAATTATAAACACGTTAGACACAAACACAATCATCACAGTTATTTCTTATGTGTTTTAGCCTGAAAAATAAAAATTAATAGCACCTTTAAGCTCCCTCACAAAGATTAAAATAACTACCTTATATTTACAAAGTAAACATATAATTCTCATTACAAAACCAGAAAACAAAACTACAACTATTCATCCCTTCATTATACAAAACCCATCACAATGTAAAGAAAAAATCTCTTGTCTCAATAGAGAACAAAAAGGTACATTTTTTATTAAAGTCACAAAAGCACTCACTACCCTAAAATTAACCTAGAAAATAAACAACCTAATATAAGTAAACCAGTAATCCCTAAAAGAAAACCCAAAAACTAAGTAGTCTCAAAAAAATCAGGAAAAAAATTACAAAAAAAGCCACATTAAGACAACAAAGAATCTGTAGAATTCCTCATGTTCATCATTCACCAAAAAAAAAAAAAAAAAACCAACCCTCTAATTTTTAAAATAATTCTAATTCTAGGACTAAAGAAACCCAGCAGGCTGTACAAAACACTTGGCTGTCACTGCACAGCTCCTCACTGGGAAAAGTTTCTCCCCACTGCACATCCCAGCCAGCCTGGCAGGAGTGGGGCCAGCCCTGGGAAGGAGGACTAACAGCCCCTTTTTAACCACAAAAACTGTCAGGCAGAGCCCCAAGGAATACCTTCTGGCCCTGGAAGGTGCCATCCCAACACCTCAGGTGTTTTATTCCAAGGGCAACCCCAGCAGGAACTGCCCAGAGCTGCCATCCTCAGGATGCCCTCAGAGGGGAACACTTGAAGCAGCCACGTGCCCCAGGAAAAAGCAGCCCCACAGACAATCCTTGTGGGCTTTCCAGATGGAATTCAGCCCTGAACAGGGGATACATTTGCTACCTGGAAGGAACAAAGCATCCCTTAGACCCACCAGCTCATGGAAATCTTCATCTCTGCAGCCCTGGCTCTGCTCTGATGGACCCACTGACCATTCTAACATGAGGGAGAGCAAGCAAAGAGGAATCTGCTGGGAAAATTGCCTTTGTGTCCCGCCAGTTCTCACTCCCAGCAAAAGCTTTTGCTGATGCAGTTTGTAATGCCTCTGTCATCAAGAGAGCAGAAGGCCAGAGCTGAGCTTGAGTCCACAGCCAGGGAAGTTTTGATCAGCTGGGCAAAAACACCTGGAAGAACTCTGTGGGCAGCAGAGATGAGGACCCACAGGTCCAGCTGAAATCAGAGGCAGCAATGAGGTGTTGGTGCCTGAACAGGAAATAAACTGTGCTGGGCAGGGAGAGCTGTGTCTGGCGGCGGTGTGGGCTGGAGCCTCTCCTGACTGATTAGTGCTGCTGCTTCAAAACTCACAGAGCCACCCTGGCTTACACCTGATCAAAACACAGCTGCATTCAGAAGACCTGATGAAAAATAACTAAAAAACTCACCTGCCAGCCCTGAATTCAGCAAGCTCTCCTCTGTGAGCCCTGCAAGGTGAAGGCATTCACCTTCAGCTCATTTACATGATTTATCATGCTATATCCACAGCTCCTCCCAGCACTGTGATGGGGGCACTGAATAAAACCAGCTGGCACAGGCTGGAAACACAGCAAAGGAAATGCTCTTTCACACCACACACAACCAAACAGCTTGTTGTTGCAGGATATCACAGAGATGGAATACATCAGTGCTCAGAAAGAGATAAGGCAACACCCCTGAGAAAGGCCCACAGAGCCCAGCTGGATGTGTCTCATGCTGACAAGACACAGACCAGCCCAGGAGGGTCCTGTGCTGCTGCCAGAGGGAGGATGAGCAGGCAGGAAAGCCATGGATGCTCCTTGTCCTCTTGCTCTCTCCCTCTCATGAGCAAATCAGAGATGCTGGCTCTGTCCCACTGGACCTCGGTCCCATCTCACCATCCTGATATTCCCAAAACGAGGAGCAGAACCAGGACATACCTGAAGGTCATCTGGAACACCTGCCCTTGGTTGACATGCTGGCTCCTGTTGTTGTAGCCGTGCAGCATCTCCCCAAAAAGGGTGTCATTGAACTTGGCATCAGCCTTCAGGCACTTGGGGCCCTCGCAGATGTCAGACAGCATCAGGCAGGACTTCCCATCCGGGGCCAGCTTGTACTCCTCCACACACCTGTGGGGCACAACAGGCCACGGGAGATGAGCCAGGCACAGAGCAACCCACCCCACGAGCCTCTGCCAGCCCAGATAGCACCACCAACACCTGCAGCAGTTGTTTGGACATGGGAGGGGTCCAAATCCTCCACAGAGCCCAAATCCTCAGCCCTGGCTGGGTTGGTGATCAGTGAATGGGGGCTTGGCTCCCAACTCCCCTCCCTCCTGCAGCAGCATTGCCCATCTGCCTGCAGTGACGTTTTGTGGGGCTTGGAGCACCCTGGTCTGAGGGAAGGTGTCCCTACCCATGGCAGGGGGGTGGAATAAGAGGAGCTTTCAGGTCCCTTCCAACCTAAACCATTCCAGGATTCCATGCTGTCCTGCCTGGAGCTGCCCCCATGCTGGAGAGCAGAGCTGAGCCCACTGTGTGTCTGCTGCTTGGGTACTAACATCCCCCACACCACAGCAAAGCAAAATCAAGTTCCTTCCCCTTCTTCCACCTAGAAATACCCTCCTGCAAGGAAGCAGCTCCAGCCTGGCTGCTCCTATGCTCTTTGATCCCACTTCCAAGCCTGTTCTGGATAAGATTCACATGTTCATCTTCAACTGGCAGGAAGGGAAACTGATGCAGGCAGCAGGGATGTGGTTTAACTGCAGACACTGGACACCTCAGTGGAATCTTTTGTAAATGTGCCATCCTGCCTCTCCTCCTCTTCCACCAGCCTTTTTGTCAGTTCCCACCACACTGGGTAACTTCTGTTCCCTCCCCACAGCCCCACTGCTGTAACACCAACCCCACCCCTACCCAGGCTTGCTTCCCTCTGCCCTTCCTTTACTGCATTTTACTGCAACCAGAACTCCCACCCGTCTGTCACGCTCTTCCTTGCCTGTTCCCAAGGCACATGTCAGCCTTGAAAAGGGATTATGAAAAAAAAAGAAGAGGAAAAAACCCAAAAAACAAACAAAAACAGAGAAAGAGTCTCTGTCCCTGAGGATGCAAGGCTGAAATGCAGATTTGTGTGGATGGAGACCATGGAATGTCCCAAGATCTTCTGGACCCTCCCCTCAAAGGGTGCTGGAGTCCACATGAATTTCTAACCCTTCTGCAGGCACGGAGCAGAAAATGTGCTCAGTCACTCTGCGCTGCTAAACAATAATAAAAAAGGTAGTGGGGGTGGAAAAATAAACAACAAAGCAGCAAAAATTGAATAAATAAAGGAGAAACTGGCACAGGCAGAGCTCCCTGGGCTGCTCTTCCCAGGGACCAGCCAGCACTCAGAGCAGTGTGAGGTCTTTGCTGCACCTGCAGGCGTCGGGACATGACGGATGCTCCTCGGAATTACTGCTAGCAATTCATTCCCCTCCTTGCTTGTGGGCATTTTCTTTCCAAAAGGGCTTTTTTTCCCCCTTCTTCATCCTAATCTGTCACACTGGGACATGGAGTAAGTTCCTGAGTGTGCCTGAGAGTGTGAACCAGCCGTGGGGCTGGGGCAGGCGATGGATGGCTGCAGCTGTGCAGAATAAAGCCAGATAATCACTGAGCTCCTTTTAGAGCACACTGCAGCCAGGGAGATTTTCCTGAGAGAAAATGCTAAATTGTGTAGGATTATAAGATCCCGGCCAAAATCAGGGATGAGACTCTATTTTTAAGGGAGGCACAAAAAAAAAGTAGCATTTTTTAAACAAATCCTACACCTTCCCCTCCAACACACACACAATGCACAATTTTTGGGTCCCTTCACAGTGAGTCACAGAACAAACTGTACTGTCACACACTGGGGGAGAGAAGGAAGGTGCATCTGCTCACACTGCTCCTCACACTTCCCTCAGGAAAACCAGGTGCCTCTATTCCCTGCTGGATGTCAGCTCCATCAGCAGCCTTTTTCTTGCACACTCAAATCCAGGCTGGGCTAGGCTGTGTGGCACAGGAGGTGGCCAGGGATGGAGATTCACAGAATTCACAGAATCACTGGGTTGGAAAAGACCTTCAACACTATTGAGTCCAACCCAGCTCCAACAGCTCAACTAAACCCTGGCACCCAGTGCCACATCCAGGCTTTTTTAAAACTCATCCAGGGATGGTGACTCCACCACCTACTCGGGCAGCCATTCCAGAACATCATCAATCTTTCTTTAAAAAACTTTTTCCTAATATCTAGCCTAAATTTCCCTTGGCCCAGCTTGGGACAAGATGAGGTCAATGAAAGACATGCAGTAATTCCCACAGGAATTACTGGAACATTGTGGAAAATACAAGAATTTTTGATTATAGGCAAAGACAGAAGCAGTATTTTGGGGCTCATAATTTATCCATCCCTTGTTTTAGAAAATTTTAATGAAGAATTAACTGTTTTAGCTCAGGTTTTGCACCAACCAGTGGTAATTCCTGAGAATACTCCAATGGCCAAGGCTATTGCTTTACCAACACACATCACAGAGCAAGTCATGCCCGTACAAGATCAGCAAGTGTTGTTTGAACAGATATGAACAGAAGATATGGAGACTGCTGTTTTTTGGATAAAGGATACTGGCTGTGATCAACCACAGAAAACCTGAAGCTTGACTTATAGTAACAAAACAATAATTATAGGAAGGGGTTTCTTGTTGAGGAGCCTTGGAGGGGACTGACTGTGGAAGAGGTTTTACAGCGACTTCTGTGAGCCAGAGAGAAGTTTGATAAGAGGGCCACGTTCACCCCTGAAAGAATTTTCTACTAAGGTCGTTGACATAGAAACCAAGAAAGAAAGAAGGATAAATAAGAGAAACCTGCAACTGCCTGTTCCAATGAGCACTTTGTTTGTCTTTCCTGACCAATGAGTAAAGTGTAAACTGATGAGTTTTGTAAGAACGTATAAAAAGCATGCAGGCTATAACAAAAACAGTTTGAAGCCTGCTGAAAATGGAATGCTGCTTTGTATTGTGACTGTCTCAACTATGACAACTGCCTAGAGGGGACTCACCCACAGAACATGAAGATGGTGCTGGAGGAGGGGTCGTGGGGCAGAGGCAGGGTCTGCTGCAGGCAGAGCTGCTCGCAGCCGCCGTTGAAGCCGTCGGAGCAGTCGATCCCTTTGGAGTAATCGTAGCAGCCGGTGCCATCCTTCATGGGCCGCAGGTCCTCGGGGCACTGCAGAGAGACAGGGCACAGGAAAGGTCACCTGGGCATCCTCCCCCACCCTGGAGTCCCTGTGCCTCTCAGGGCACAGCCCATCCCAGAGCCAGTGCTGCTGAACTCCTTCTCCATCTGAAGGAGAGGAGTTTGTCCTGAGTGACGGATGGGGTAGCCCTGCATCACCTCTCACAGCCCTTGGGAAGGGGGCAAGGCTTTGGTCTGCTGCCAATGCCTTCCGCCTCATCCTCCCTCTGTAAGAGGGTGAAATCCTTGGGACAGTAAAACTACACAGCAATAAATCCTTAAGCTAGCATGGGGTAAAACTTCACAACCCTCTGTGTTTTCTCCCTGTTCCTCCAAAATGCAGAAAAATCCAGTGCAACCCAGAAATAAACACCTCAACACCTGGGACCAACCCAGAGAATCATCTCAGTGCTTGGGAATGACCTAGAAATCCATCTCAACCCATGCCAGGCAGTCAGCAAGCATGGCCCTGGCATCATGCACAAAAGGATCCTGATGCCTGCTGTGGGCAGGACCAGCCCATGGCAGAAGCAGGACTGAGGCAGCCAGGATGGCAGCCCAAGCTCATCAGTTTTCCACAGCTGAGGGAACCATGGCTCTAATTTCTAATTGCAGTTCCCCAGCTTGTTTTCCTTGCCCCAAAAGATAAAAGCCAGCAGATGGCAAATGCCATTGATAAATTGTCACCCAGATTAAAGCACACTCCCATTTTTGTTATTTATCCCTTTTCACCAAACAGACACGCACACAAACAACAACAAAAAGGCCAGTCCTTGAAAAAATAAATAAATCTTGTCTGGGAACAGCTCACAATTAAAAATGCATTATGGAATTTCTTGAAGATGAGTTAGACTGGAAATGGCACAGGTAGTGATGAAGGCAGTTTATAAATGGCCTCTGTCAAGCAGAAGAAAGGTTATAAAACCACTACACCTCATGCTTAAAAAAGAAAATCACTTTTCTATGTGAGCAAAATGCTGCACATATTAATAAAAGTTCAGGAGATCCTGGGCCTTGCACTCACTAACACCGGCAGAGTCCTGATGGGAGATGGGCTCCTGAGCCTTGCTCACTCATGGCTATTTAAGAAGCAAACAGAGACAGCAGAAAGGGGCTTTAGAGACTCCTGGCCCACTCTGAGCCATCCCAGAATACTAGAATGTTTGGGTTGGAAGAGACCTCTCAAGACCATCCACTTGCAACCCTGCTACCATGAGCAAGGACACCTTCCACTATCCCAGGCTGCCCCACACCCTGTCCAGCCTGGCCTTGGGCACTGCCAGGGATCCAGGGGCAGCCACAGCTGCTCGGGGCAACCAGGGCCAGGGCTTCCCCACCCTCACAGGGAAGAATTTCATCCTAACATCTAATTTAAACCTCCCTTCCTTCAGTTTAAAACCATCATACTTGTCCTACCCTGTTATAAGGTTCATCCACACCTTTCTCTCCACCTCCTAGAAACCTTGTGCCACTTCCCTACAGCAGCAGTATCAAAACTGCTTCTGCCCCACTTACAGCAACTGGGGTGTGTTGATCTCTGTGCCAGCTGTCCCTCAGATCCCTCACTGCCTCCTGTGCCCTCAGCTCTGAAGCTTGCAAACCTCAGCAGCATCCTTGGGGACACCGGGTAAGGTGAGAAGGGAAGGCACAAGGCTTGTCCATCCAAAGGGTCTTGGCAGCAAAGGGCTCTGGAATAGGATGCTGTCCATCCCTACAGAGCAGGCAGGGTCCCAAAGACACAGCTCTGGAATTAGCAGCAGAAAGCAGCAGAAGACTTGGGAGCAGGAGCCTTTCCAGATGCATACACAGAACAATGAAGGAGGAGAGAACACTGAGAACAATCTGTGCTTTCCACGACCCCAGAGCTGCCTGGGAAACAGCACCAGGATGAGAGTGTTTGTAAATCTACAGATCCATCTCTTATCTCCTGTGCTTTCCTCCTTGTCTGCTGTAAGAGCAGAGCTGTGCAAATTGGCAGAGAGGATCTCCCTGGAGGACACGGGGAGGTCTGGCTGCAAACAGCATCCCTGCTCACGGCACTGCATCCGCTCTGCTGCTCTCCCCACACCCACAGGGATGGGGGCACGGCTCTGCTCAAGTTCCCTCTGGGGATCCTGTGGGATATTCCAGGGTGCTGAAGGAACTGGATGGGATTGTAAGGCAGCAGGAGCTGCAGGACCACAGCCAGAGGATCAGTCACGGCTTTTCGGCGCTGTCACTTGGAATTCTTGCCTTGGCACAGATCCATGTGCTGAGCTCAGCACCTTCTCCAGCCCAGAGAGGAAGAAGATGGTTCTTTCCCTGTGACTGGGTTAGTGGGTCAGCAAAGCCCTCCCTCCCTTCGTCCTACTCTGCTTGAGGCCACCCTTGGGATATTCCTCCAGTTTTGGCTCTTAACCACCACGAAACGTGCTTCCTTTCAGTTCATAATTATGCATCCTAATAGTCATTAATTACAGCCGGCAAATAGCTCAGCACAGCATTTGCAAAAGAAAGTGCTCCTGTCTCTCCACATCCATCCCTGCTCAGAGCAGAGCTGGCTCTCCAGTCAGCTGCTGTGCTGCAGCATGGGGCTCTCCAGGGACAGAAAGGGAAGCCAGGGAGCCAACGTGAAACCTCGGGATGTGTCCCTGCCTAGGAGAGCCAGGGGAAGCAGCAAACTTGGCAGTTAGTGCTGGCCAGGCAACACCAGCCTCTCCATGGAGGGGTTTGCAGGGATGAATAGGTGGATGAAGCAATTACTGAGCACAACAAATCACAGAATTGTTTGGGTGGGAGAGTACCTTAAAAATCAGCTCACCTCCCCTGCCATGAGCAGGGAAGCCTCTCACTATCCCAGGCTGCTCCAAGCCCTGTCCAATCTGGCCTCGGATACTTCCTGGAGTAGCCATAGCTTCTAAGGGCTTATAAATGTTTGTAACACACCTCTCTGCCCCTGGAGCAGAGGATTTCACATTGGGACTTCCCATCAATAGATCAGAGTGGGGAAAAACTGAAGTCCATTTGAGTGCAGCTATGTTCTTGCCCACAGAAGTGAGAAATGACCATGGAAAAAGCCAGTTTGTGCTAATCCTGACTCCCTGGTGGATCAGCTTGGGCTTCTGGATGGGTTTGGAAAGCCAGCATTCACCCTTTATACACTGTGCTTTTATAAAGGAGCAGATCTGTTCTTGCTGACATTGATTTGCCTGGCTTGGGCAGCAGAGAACCAATAATTACGGTGAGTTTTAATCAATGCCCCATCAATTTAGGTGCAGTTCAATTTGCGATCTGCCTTGGCAGTGACACAGGACAGGGGGCTCTGTTGGAAAATGATTACAAAATCAATAAGAAACTCGGTCAATAACTCTGTCTGGGCGAGCACGGGTGGCACGTCCCACCCTGGTGGGAGGAAAGCTGTGCCCCAGCAGGGCCTGGGCAAACACCTCTGCACACCCCTCATCCACACATGGATTTATTGAGCCACAGAAGCAAAGGGATCCCACACACTGTAACCCAGAGATTCAAAAGAAAAAGCAGTTTGTGGTTTACCACGTTAGACTCATATTGCATGCGTTCACTTCCAATTCCCAGCCCATCCTTTATCCACGGAGCTGACCAGGAAATATAGCTCAGAGCTTGGGAAAAGGGTCTGGTGCTTAATCCATGCTATGGAGAGGAAAAGGAGGTGTAGGGGGAAGACTCCAGCTCATGGTCTGCTCAAAATCCAAGGAGAAGCTGTTACCATACAAATATAATTCCACGCTCTCGCAAATCCAGTTCATCTATGCAGAAGTGAACTGATTTCTCTGTGCCGACAGACAACCCTGAAAATTGCTCTTGGCATTGGAAAAGAAAACTTTCTTTTCTTGTTGTGTGTTAGCACTGATAACACAGGTCCTGAAGGCTAAAGATGACCCTCAGCTCCAATGTTCTGACCCTGCTGCTGCCAAGGGGTCTGAGGAGAAGGAGCCACCTGCAGCTCCACATGGTTTGGCTGATGGCATAGTTGGACACCAGCCCATCCCCTCCCATCCCAGAGCACACATGTCCTTATTCCTGTGATTGCAGTCAGCAAATGAATTTTGAGTACTCACAGGGAATGGATGTGCTGAATAGGAAGTGCTATTTTTATCTGTTGTTTTGCAAAACAGGCTTTTTTCGCTTTTAAATGACATCTCCAAGGTGACACAGAGTAGCAGATTTGGCAGGGCCTGCTGCCACATGCCCACAGCCACCCCTGGGAAGACACCAGATCCAGCCTCACCTGTACACAGGGGCTGTGGTTTGGAACTACAAAATAGGATGTCTGTGCCCACTGTGCCCACTGCTGTCACCCAGCACAGCGTGTGGCACCCTGTGGCCTCCCGCCACCAGGACTGGGCACAGCTCCTCTGCCCAGCAGCACCAGCAGCATCCCCAGCACGGCCAGGGCAAACACGACAGGAGGAGGATCACCTCTGGGGGAAGGAACACAACACACACCAGAACCTGTGTGAGACTGTGCCTTAGGAAAATAAATGCCTGGACAAGTCCCCGCTCATGTAAAGTAAAAAAGGAGCCTTTGCTCACTTTCTCGTTTGCAAAGCTCATTAGCAGCAAGATGGGTGAGGGTCACTGGAAGGCAAATCATTACTGACACGGATCCCCCAGGTGGGAGCACATCCGCTCTCCTCCATCTGAGCTGCCTGCCAGAGCTGCTCAGCTCAGCTCAGCTCCTCTCCTTCATTATTAAGTTTAAAAACCAGAATACTTTATTAAGTGTTTCTGTAGAGAGTAAACTGCCCTTTTTGTTATTCCACTCTGTTTTCTCAACAACAGCAGCCTTCTACTCAGAGCCTTCTGTGTCAGGTGCTGGAGGTGATGCTCTGGGTACAGATGAGAATATCCCCACCTCTTAAAACCACAGAGGGAAGCTGCCACCAAACCCCACTCCCAGTGCTGCTCCAGGCACCTTTCTCACACCTGGATGCCTCCAGAAGTGAGACCCCGGATCCCAGGCTGCATCCCCA